ACATTCTGATAGCATGGGAAACCAGTTGAATAGAAAAGGTACAAGCTTCCAATTTATTCCACATTTCTTCGTCTCACTTCATCCTTTATCGCACTCTATTACCTCGCTCCACCTCATCTACCTCAGTGCACTTTACCCCACTTCCTTACACCCCCGTTTACCCTCTGCCGCGTCATCCCGCATCGCCCAGCATCACTTCACCCCACCACCTTCCATCCCACTCGACATGATCCCACATCAACCTACCTCACATCATCCCACACCACTCCATCTCACTTCACTTCCCTCCACAACATCCAACATTCTCTTGCATCCCTTCATTCTACCTCAACCCACCTCGCTCCATTTGACTCCATCTCATTGCTCATCATCCCAAATCACTCCACCTCACCAAGCACCACTCCATCTCACTCCACTTCATCTTATTTCATTCCATTTCACTTTACTCCATCTCACTTCACTCCATCTCACTCCATTCCATCTCACTTTACTCTATCTCACTTCACTCTATCTTACTTCACTCCATCTTACTCCACTCCATCTCATTTCACTCCATATAAATTCACTCTATCTCACTTCACTCCATCTCACTTCACTCTATCTTACTTCACTCCATCTTACTCCACTCCATCTCACTTCACTCTATCTCACTTCACTCCATCTCACTTCACTCCATCTCACTTCACTCTATCTTACTTCACTCCATCTTACTCCACTCCATCTCATTTCACTCCATCTCACTTCACTTCGTCTTATTTCACTCCATTTCACTTCACTCCATCTCACTTCACTTCATCTTATTTCATTCCATTTCACTTTACTCCATCTCACTCCATTTCATCTCACTTTACTCTATCTCACTTCACTCTATCTTACTTCACTCTATCTTACTCCACTCCATCTCATTTCACTCCATATAAATTCACTCTATCTCACTTCACTCCATCTCACTTCACTCTATCTTACTTCACTCCATCTTACTCCACTCCATCTCACTTCACTCCATCTCACTCCATTCCATCTCACTTTATCTCACTTCACTCCATCTCACTTCACTTCATCTTATTTCACTCCATTTCACTTTACTCCATCTCACTTCACTCTATCTTACTCCACTCCATCTCACTTCACTCTATCTTACTCCACTCCATCTCACTCCACTCCATCTCACTTTAATCCATCTCATTTCACTCCATCTCACTCCACTCCATCTCACTTCACTCCATCTCACTCCATTCCATCTCACTTTACTCTATCTCACTTCACTCCATCTCACTTTACTTTATCTCACTTTACTCCATCTTATTTCACTCCATCTCACTTCACATCATATCATTTACTCCATTTCACTTCACTTCATCTCACTTCACTTCATCTCAACTCACTCCATCTCACTTCACTTCATCTCAATTCACTTCACTCCATCTTACTTAATTCTATCTCACTTCACTCCATCTTATTTTACTCCATCTCATTTCACTTCATCTCAATTCACTCCATCTCACTTCACTTCACTTCACTCCACAACATCCCACATTGTCTTTCATCACTTCATTTCACCTCACCCCACCTCACTCCACTTGACTCCATCTCACTCCGCATAATCCCACATAATGCCAACACTGAAGACGACATCTCGGCTGGAGCAAGCGGAACTGTGGCGTCAGTTGGCGCACAGAAGCAGCCGACTCGACGACCGGTTGAAGGCGTATCGTCATGCGGTCGACCTGTTGCAGGTAGGCCACGCCAGCAAAGTCCTCTGCCCTACACTCTTGCTGTACCCTTTTTATGTCTGCTCCTATTCATCCCAGCCTCTGGTCTCCCTCCTCCCTTTTTTCGCATCTGCCCGACAGCCCAACGACCACGTTTGGGAGAGGCTGGAGCTGGTGTTGGAATTGGTGCAGTGGATGA